CCCTCAGGCTCAGCGTCTGTGGGCTCAGGCAGATCTTGTGCAGGGGCTGCTGGGCTGAACTCAGAGTCAGCGTCCCCTCCCTGTCCCCCTTCCCTCCCCCTCTCTGGCTGCTCCTGCATCTCTGAGATCTGCACAGTCAGTGGCTGACGTTACCCCTGGCCCATGAGGATTGGCTTCCAGGATTTCAGATATGTCTCCCCTCACCCTGTTCTACAGGGGGCAGGGATAGCTTTGGGGGGGGGGGGCGAATCTAGGCTTAAGGACCAGGCTGGGTCACAGCCAAGCTTTTTTCAAGGCTTTCTCCAACTTTACTGTGAACAAGTCTAGACACTTAGAGGTGTTTAGCTTAGCTTCAGAGTAACCACACAGCAGCTCTGCATGTCAAGACTTGGGGGCAGCTCATAGGTATCTGGGGATAAGAGCCAGGAATGCACTTCAGGCAACCAGAGGTGGCCATCCTTTGGCCATGTGTCTTCTCACTCTTATTCTTTACTCTCAACATTCTTTGTCATCTCTTTCCCAGTCCTGAAGCTCCTAGCACAGACCTCGTGCATACTGAGTCCCCACACTGCTGCTCAGGAGAATGATGGAGCTTTTAGGGACCCAAAACCTCACTGGCATTTATCCACAAAGGAAATGGAGTGATGGCTGGGATCACCAGAGTGATCTTTTCTCTAGAGTTTCTCTTCCTCAACCCTGGAGACTCTTTGCTCTCTGGGACAGGCTCCAAACCTCTCCAAGCTATCATCCCCAACTGCATACTGAAATGTGAAGAGGGTAGCATTTGGGTCTGTGTTCAAATACCCCATTTCTTGCTGGTTAGTTGAGTGAGGCCTTGGCATTGAACCTCTCTGCATTGGTGTTTGGTCTTCCTTATTTTTGTTTTAGGAGCTGTAGATGCAAAGATTTGCTGTCATCAAGGTCATATTCTGGTGGAGATACATACACATGAACAATCCCTTTAAAGATAAGTGTGACAGGCTAAGCCAAGTAGTTTGTAGGCAACAAATAGGTTAATAGAAAGAAGTGGAGGAGCTTGAGTTTTTCTGTGGTATCCAGGGAAACTCACCTTACTTAGAGGTCAGGCTGGAGGAGAGAAGAAAGGGAGAAAGAATCAAGGGGAGAGGCGGAGCAGTAGCAGGTGGGAAGGCTCTGGGTGGGTGGGAAATGGTTTTGTGTATAAACAGGTACGGCTGCAGTGTGGACAGGAGCAAGCAAAATCGAGGGACCAGGCCCCACTTGCCAGGGGCTCACAGGATGTCAGGCAGAGTCTATTTTATGCTAAGAGCTGCAGGAGACCTCAAGGCTTTGCACTGAGGTGCCATGGCCTGGACACTCAGATGTATGTGACCAACAGGCCAGGAAAGTCTCCTTCAGAGGCTCTTTCCAGTCACGTGAGAAGAGAAGGCGGTGAAGCCTCACACAGACCCACAAGCAGATTCATTTAGCATGTGTGTTAGCTTCCGGTCACTGCAACAAAACACCTGAGAAAATCGGTTTGGGCGACGAAAGAAGCCCACTGTCCATGGTCACTTGGCTTAGAGGACTTTGGTGCTACAGGAAGGCAATCCGTGGTGGCAGAGCAAAGCACCTCAGCTCATGGTGTCCAAGAAGCAGGGAGCGAAAGAGGAGAAGCACGCAAGCTGGGGACAAGTTATACCCTTCAAAGCTGTGCCCTCCCCAGCCACCCACTTGGCAAACTAGGCACCACCACCTAAAGTGTCTGCACCTCCCAACAACGCTGTCCATTTGGGATCAGGCCTTCAGGACATGAGTTTTGGGGAGCATCCCAGATCCAAGCTAGACAGCGTATCTGCCTGATATTGCAGGTATGCCTCCTCTGTGTCACAGGCTCCATGAAGGGGCCACATGTGTCTGCCTCAAAATCTGTCACACATATTGTAGAGGATGTAGCCTGACTGAGCATCATACTTTACTTCTGTTTGTGTTTCATCTTCTTAGTGATCCCATGTGGGACCGAACTTTTCCATTTGCATTGAAGAAACCTCAGAGAGGTCAATTTGTACACTGAAATCCGGCTGGCACCATAGCCAGTGGCCCAGCCTGGATGTGGAGTGCTCACAAATAGGGGGCAGATGGGAAGGAGCCCCTCGCCCCAGTGGTACAAGGAAGAGAGGACGGAGAGGCTTTAGGCCAAAGCTGCTTCCCCATGTAGAAGTTCACCTCCTAGGACCTCAGCAAGTTAGTGGTCAGTGACCTGGGTGGACATAAAGCGCGTTTGTCCATGGTCACTGTTAGGTTGACAGAGGAGCCCTGAGCTCCTGGGAAGAGCAATATAGGAATTTAATGCCAGAAAGCTGCTTTGACTCAGAGAACTGGTTCTGGAAAATGCACTGTGGGACTGAAGATCCCATAAGGATTCCAATCATAATGAAAATAACAGATACCAGTTGGTGAGGTGACACATACCTGTGATGCCAGCGCTCTGGGAAGCTGAGCCAGGAGGAACACAAGTTGGAGTGAAGCCTGGGCCATGCAGTGACTTAGCAAGACCCTGTCTCAGAATAAAAAAGGGCTGGGGGTGTAGAGCAATGTGAGGGCCTCTGGTTCTACCCCTAGTACCACAAAAAGAAAGAAGGAAGGGAAGGAGAGGGAAGATGAGAGAGGATCGTGCTTGTACGAATGGAATAGGGATCGCCTTCTTAATGCAGTCTCTGCTCCTCAGCATAACCCAGCAAGTTTCCATCCTGGTGGTGGCAGTCTCTGGCTCTTTCTGTCTTGCAGTGCTGCTCCTCAGGACCCTGCTGGGAGAGGGGGAGATTCTTTGGCCCTTTGAAGGTCAACAGGATAATTTAGAGAACAGACAGCCAGTGTTCCTTCCACATCTCCTATTATTTTTTTAGTTGGTAGTTGTTTTCCCTGTAATTGGTCTAGTCTTATGACCCGGGAATTTCTCCCCCTTCTGTCTGATGCACACACACACCTTTCTCCTTTGGAAACCTAGCTTTACTCAGATATTCTCCTAAATCCAACCCACACATGTGTGCTGTGAACATTCCCAACTGAGCTCCTGTCTGGTACTGACGAGGTGATTGTTAGTGTTTTAAGCACTGACTATAGGAGGAGATCCTATTTTCTAAAAATTGTTAGGTGCCTCCTAGAACTGGTTTGCAAAACTGAAGGGGAAAGATGTCAAATATCTTCCACATCGCAGCTGTGACAGTGGTGGAACTGGGAACCCAGCCAAGCCAATGGTAGATTTCTCAACAGTGGAGACCACAATCACTCCCTCCTTTCTCCCCTGAACCCTCTCCAATACAGCCTTTCTTCCCATCGCTCCACCAAAACTCATCTTGGTAAGGTCTCCAAGGACCTCCATGTGGCCGCATCCCTTAGTAAATAGTCAGTTGTCATCTTCAACACCAACTAACACCATCCTTAATGAAAAGTCTTTTTTCCTATTTTCCTTCACTCTCCACCCCACCATCAGGACCATCTGCATTTCTCCTCTTTGCTCCTCTCTCACCTTTCTAATCTGCCGTTGTTCCATGGGCCAGGCCTCAAGCTTCTCTTGTCTTTCTGCACTTGCTCTGTAGTAACAGCGATGAGTCTCCCAGCTGGCTTCTGTAGACTGGCATCCTTTACATGTTGATCTGAAGCTCCAGCGCCTCCCCCACCCCATACCCCCATCACTCCTTGGACACCCCACAGGCGTTGCCAGCTGGATGTCCTAAATCAAGCCCAATCCTGGCTCTCCATCTCACCTTGCCCTACACCAGCTCACTTGTAGCCATCCATTTCTCTGTAAATGGTATCTTTTTACTTCAGATGGCTGTCATCTAAACTTTAGTCTTTTTTTTTTTTTTCTGGCTTTGCTTTTTTCTTTGCTTTTTCCATTTTTAGAGACATTCTTCACTTTTCTTTCACTGCCTTACATCTATCTAGTCCTTTAGCAAATCCTACAGCTTCAACCTTAAAATTACTTCTAAAATTTAATCCACAGCTATCACCCTTGCCATGCAAGGTGGTGTCTTAGTCACTTACTTAACTGAGCCACCAGTTCCACTCCAGCCCCTCACCAGCCTCTTCCTTACCCTTCAGCTGGAGAAACCTGACCCAGCGTCCCTGTCCCATGCCCAGGGAAACTGCCAGCTACTTAGAACCATCTTAAGACTCCGCCAGTCTCTTAGAACCATCTAGAACTCCTCTTAGCCAGAGTCGAACTAATGCCCTTGCAGCGCCCCCAGCCCATGCTACCTTCCCGACTGCTCCTTCTCTGCCAACCTTGTTGATCCTCTTTCGTCCCACTCTTCTCCAAGCTGCTGTCACCTAGCCCAGCAGGCTCCATCTCAGGGACTTGGGGTTTGGGGACTTGAGTCTCTCTTGTGAGCTGTGCTGCTGGATCCCCACATGGCTTGCCTCTCATTTTGGGGTATTTCTCCAAAAGCTACCCTAACACTCCTTGTGTAGGTCTGTTTGCTGTTGCTCTAACAAAATAGCCCAGGCTGTGTAATTCATACAACAATATGGGTTTGTTGGACTCAAGATTCTGAAGGCTGGGACTTTTAAGATGAAGCAGCCACATCTGGTGAGGTCATCTTGTCGGTGGGGACTCTGCAGCCTTCAGAGGTGCTGCAGGGCATCCCTTGGTGATCTTCCTCTTCTTATAAAGCCCCTTCCCCTCATGACTAATACTAATTAACTTCTAACTACTACCCAACTACCATTAACATTAATGACTTTGGGAATTAAATTTCAGGGGCACACCCAAAACACAGCTCTCCCTGGACCAAATCACCTCAAAGCATTCTCTCCTACTCTGCCATGCTCTGTATGGTCTGGTACAGGCCACAGTGATGATGTGTGGGTGGCACCATGAGTGCAGGTGTCTGATGTCCTAGCACCTAGTCCCTCCAGGTGGTGGGGCATGAGGGTCTGGACTGCAGTGACAGATCAGAGAAACACTCCGGAAGTCACCACGTGGGCTGTGCAGAGCCTGGCTCTACCCAGGCTGACGTATATCTTCTGTCTCCTTGCAGGTCTATGGCTGTCCATGCTCTGTGAGGGTTTTGCTATGACCGCAGTCTTCTTGCAAAGTCAGGTCTGCCCCTCACTGTCACAGCCACCTCAAGCCCCCACATCTTGGTCACTGCGTCATTGTCACCATGGGCAGTGTCAGCAGCCTCATCTCCGGTCACGGCTTCCACAGCAAACACTGCCGGGCCTCGCAGTACAAGCTGCGCAAATCCTCCCACCTCAAGAAGCTCAACCGCTACTCGGACGGGCTGCTGAGGTTTGGTTTCTCCCAGGACTCTGGTCACAGCAAGTCCAGCTCCAAAATGGGCAAGAGCGAAGACTTCTTCTATATCAAGGTCAGCCAGAAGGCCCGGGGCTCCCACCGCCCAGACTACACGGCACTGTCCAGTGGAGATGTCGGGGGCCCAACTGGGGTGGACTTTGATCCGTCTACGCCACCCAAGCTCATGCCCTTCTCCAACCAGCTGGACATGGTGAGTGGGGGCCCCTGGCAAGGCTGGGTGGACAGGAAAGTGCAGGGAGTTGACATGGGGAGGGGGCAGGGAACAGTGGCAGCCCAAGTGTGTCCAGGGCCTCCCCGTAGAGACTTCTGGCGGTGAGCATGCTTATTTGCTGTCCAAGTGTTGGTTCTAGCCAGGCCTGGAGGTTTTTGGCTGAATAAGGGCTAGGATTTTGTTATCATCATCAAAGGTTTTGGAAAAGAATCCAAAGTCCAGGATGCTCAGAAATCCAGCCCTTACATCAGCTCAAATATGAATGAGTCCCACCAGGGGACATGAAAATACTGTCCTGTTCAATCCCCGCACCCCTCCCATGGGAAGGGGCCCAGGCTGTGATACACAGGTTATTCAAAGTCCTTTGGACCCAGAATTAAATCATTTTGGATTTTGGATTTGGGTGTGTGACTGTGTGGCACTGTGGATTGAGTTCAGTGAGCTAGGACATTTCTAGAACTTTCTGTTTTTGAGACAAGGCTGGGCTGGAATTTGCAATCCCCTTGCCTCAGCCTCTCTAGTGCTCAGCCTGCCTGCGCCACTCTGCTTGGCTGGAGTCTGGAATATTTGTCTATATGTAATGAGTTATCTTGGGATTAAGATCCAAGGCTAAACAGGAAATTCATTGTTTCATTTATACCTTATCACACAGCACAAAGATAATTTTATGCAGTATTTTAAAAGTTTGTGCACAAAACAGAATTTCATAGTATGACATTTCCACTTACTGGCATCATGTTAGAGCTCAAAAAAGTTTTGGACTTTGGCGCATTTCAGATTTACAATTTTTGGATTATTAATATTCAAACTGTATCAGAAAAGTACCTGCTGTGTTTGCATAAAGCTTCCAGCTTTTACTTTTGTTTTTTACTTTAAAGTTATTTTGTTTTTGGGAGGACAGTGTCTCGCTGTGTATCCACACTGGGCTGTAATTCATAAGCTCCTGCCTCAGTCTCCCAAGTGCTAGGATAACAGGTATGCACCACTACAGGCACAAGCTTCCAACTTTCCAGACAAAAGTCTTATAAATTGCAAAGAGCTTTAACAATGGAAATTAAAATTTTAAAAAAGGGATAGTTAGCTCAGCATGGTGATGTCACCTGTAATGATAGCATTCTGGGAGGCTGAGACAGGAGGATTCCTAGTTCAAGCCTACCCCAGGTAACTAAGCAAGATCCTGTCTCAGAAAATAAAAGGGGCCAGCCATATAGATGGATGTGAAGGCCTTGATTCAATTCCTGGCTCCATACACATACAAAAGAAGGGCTATTTCCGGTGATCCTCCATTCCTGGGAAGAGGCCGTGTTTAGCTTTCTGATTCCAGGCTTGATGGAAGAGGCCATGAAGGGGAAGAAGATCCATTCGAGCTTGTCCAGCCTAAGTCCTCCCGACCACATGGATGCTGGATGAGGAACCCTGTGTCCTTCTTGGCCCATGAATCTAGATAGTGTTTGTCTTCTCAGGAAGTCGGCACAGGCTGGCAGAGTGTCTCAGCCACCATTAAGGACCTTCTCTGGGTACAGAGGGTTCTCACTAGGAGGGCAAGGTGTACCAAGGCTGCAGCATGGCTCTGGGCTCAGGTTGGCACACAAGACCAGCACATATCCTGGTGGGGGGGGGGTGAGCAGGAAGAGCGCAGCTGGGATCAATATGACTCTTTGCCTCCCCAGGGCTCGGAGAAGGGCCCGGTGAGGCCCACAGCCTTCAAGCCGGTGCTGCCACGGTCTGGAGCCGTCCTGCACTCTTCCCCTGAGAGTGTCAGCCACCAGTTGCATCCGGTCCCTCCAGACAAGCCCAAGGATCAGGAGGCGAAGCCAGGCCTGTGCTCTGGGGCGCTTTCTGACTCGGGCCGCAACTCCATGTCCAGCCTACCCACGCACAGCACCAGCAGCAGCTACCAGCTGGACCCACTGGTCACACCCGTGGGGCCCACCAGCCGTTTCGGAGGCTCAGCCCACAACATCATGCAGGGCGTCCTCCTGCAGGACAGCAACATGACAAGCTTGAAGGCTCTATCGTTCTCAGATGGGGGCAGCAAGCTGGCGCACTCGGGCAAGGTGGACAAGAGCGCTTCGTGCGTGCGCTCCCCTATCTCCACAGACGAATGTGCCATCCAGGAGCTGGAGCAGAAGCTGCTGCAGAGGGAGGGTGAGCTGCAGAAGCTACAGCGGAGCTTCGACGAGAAGGAGTTTGCCTCCAGCCAGGTCTTTGAGGAGCGGGTGCGACGCAGCAGGGACGAGCAGGAAGGCCCTGAGCCCAAGGGTGGCGGTGGGAAGCTGAAGCAGGCAGCGTCACAGAAGAGCCAGCGCACACAGCAGGTCCTGCACCTGCAAGTGCTCCAGCTACAGCAGGAGAAGCGACAGCTGCGGCAGGAGCTTGAGAGCCTCATGAAGGAGCAGGACCTGCTGGAGACCAAGCTCCGGTCGTATGAGCGGGAAAAGACCAACTTTGCCCCAGCACTGGAAGAGACCCAGTGGGAGGTGAGGTCATGCCCCAGTTCAGGCTGTGGTGACCTGGCATGTGGTGCCAGTCCCCTCCCCTTGGAAGGTGCCAACACGAATTATCCAGGCACACAGGGCTTCGAGACCCAAACAAGGGCTCCCTGGAAAACTAAGATGGATGCGCTTAGCTCTGAGTTTTCTGACTCCACCAGTATCCTGGAGGCCTGCAGAACTGAGTTCACTGATTGAATAGTCAGAACCCAGACACCCGAGGCCCAGCTGGGCAAATGAGCAGATACCTGCCTCACCTCATCTGCTCACTGGGGCCTCAAAAGAGGCACAGCCACGCTTTTATCAGGTCCAGGGAGAGCATAGGTTGGTTTATGAGAGAAGGAACCTGATCTGCTCCTAAGAGTGTTTATGTTCTTGGCAAATCCCACCAAGGGAATGGGCACCCCCTTGTTAAAGTGTAAGGGCAGTTTCTACTTAGTGAGCTGAGATGGAAACAGGAGAGGAAGGACAGACACACACACATACACACACACACACACACACACACACACACACACACACACACGCGCGCACGCGCTCAGAGCTGCTTTGTAATTGAGGCATCTAGACCTGGCCCAGCTAGAGAGCTGGCATGGGGTGTAGGGCTGCAGGAGGGCAGGTCAGGGTGTGATCAGCAGCACTGTCCTTCACCCCAGAGTCCCACCTGCAGAAAGGCAGGGGTCACTCAGCCTGCTTAGACCAGCACCAGGCCTAAGTGGGGTGACTAACCCTGATATCCTTGAAGCTCCCTGTGCCTATCCTGGAAAGAGAGGTGTCAGGTGTTTTCAGGGGGAGGGAAGAAAAGCATCCTTTCTATGAGTGAGGGGGACTGTGAGAAGGGAGAGCTGTCTTTATTCCGGGAAAAGTTAGTCATTGCTAAGGCCTTGTTCCCAACCTTGACAAAATGATAAAACAAGATTAAAAAAATACATGGACCAAAATATATTGTAGAACCATTTATCCTAATAATTTGCAGCGAATTTAATAAGTGTCAAGTTCATCAAATCCTTGCAATCTCACCAGAAGTAGGTTTAATTCCTATTCCTCAATTCACAGTTCAGGACAAGGAGGCCCAAAGTGATTAAGCGACTTGCCCGAGCTCTGATGTGTATTATGCATGACAGCCAAGATTTGATCCTAACTGTGTGGACACAGACTTCACACTACCCCTACCAGATTGCCACTGTATTCAGGATCACCTGGATCTTAAACAGTGGAGCCAAGATTCAAAGCCAATCAATGCCTCCACTGGGGCTCTGTTGCTCCCTCCCATGAAACAGATGCAGGCTTCCTGTTAGTCAGCTCTCTGTCACTGTAACAGAATAGCTGAGAGCAACTTATTAAGACAAAAGGTTAGTGAGCTTACAGTCTTGTAGGTCCCAGGCCATGATCAGTTGGGCTCTCATGAGGAGGGAACACATCACAGCAAGAGTGTGTGACAAAGCAAACCTGCTTACGTCATCTTTCTGGGAGCAGAGGGGAGAGGAAACTGAAAGGAGGCATCTGCTCCTGTTCCAGTCCCTGCTGCAGGACCCAGGCCATGGTCTTCTGTGACTCTTGCTCTTCTGTCAGCCTGATTGGTCTTGGTCTTCCTTGAATCACTCATGACTCAAAGTGGCTAAGACTTCAGAGACACATGGCTCTGATTCAGAGGCTTTGCATTCCCTCACTGCTCTTGGTTAGACTCTGGATAGAGGAGGGGAAGGGAGTAGGCACCAGGGCACTGTTGGCAGATGTGCCACTGAGGCACAGCAGGTCAGCGTGAGATAGCCCAACCCCAGCACAGATGAGACGAGAACTTTGAATTGGGAGTGAGGTGGGCGCATGGGGAAACTAAGATGCATGCAAAAATGTGCCTCAAAGAGAGGCTTGACCTTTGTGGGTTTCCAACTGGCATGCCTGGGGACCACAGCCAAGGCGCTATGTCCCTTCAGGCAGCAGAGCTGCTCCTTAACCTGGTTAACACTCACCTGTGGCTCTCTCTCTGTCCCTACCTGGCAGGTGTGCCAGAAGTCAGGTGAGATCTCTCTCCTGAAGCAGCAGCTCAAGGAGTCCCAGAGCGAGGTGAATGCCAAGGCCAGTGAGATCCTCAGTCTGAAGGCACAGCTGAAGGACACTCGGGGCAAGCTGGAGAATATGGAGCTGAGGACGCAAGACCTGGAGGGTGCCCTGCGCACCAAGGGCCTGGAGCTGGAGGTGTGCGAGAACGAGCTGCAGCGCAAGAAGAATGAGTCGGAGCTGCTGCGGGAGAAGGTAAATCTACTGGAGCAAGAGCTGCTGGAGTTGCGGGCCCAGGCTGCCCTGCAGCGGGAGAGCGCATCCCTGGGGCCGGGGCTGGTAGCTGTGCCCACCTTCTCAGAGGACATCCCTGCCCTGCAAAGGGAGCTGGAGCGCCTGCGGGCCGAGCTGAAGGAGGAGCGGCAAGGCCACGACCAGATGTCCTCAGGCTTCCAGCACGAGCGGCTGGTGTGGAAGGAGGAGAAGGAGAAGGTGATCCAGTACCAGAAGCAGCTGCAGCAGAGCTACCTGGCTATGTACCAGCGAAACCAGCGCCTGGAAAAGGCACTGCAGCAGCTGACCCGCGGGGACGGGGCTGGGCATTCCTTTGAGATTGACCTGGAAGGGGCTGACATCCCCTACGAGGACATCATAGCCACGGAGATCTGAGGGGCCGCCTGGGGAAGGGGAGGGCTGGGGACCTGGCAGCAGGGGGACAGGGGCCAGCCTGCTCTAAGAGGGGCCCCCTGCACAGCAACTTGGCCGCCCGGCACAGACCCAAGACCTGCCAGTGGTGGTGGGCAGGGGTCACTACATTGCCTCCTTCCCTGATCCCACCTCACCCACTCCGCAGAGCACTGGACCGTGGCTCTGACTCCCCAGCTTTCCAGGAGACAGGCACAGGATCCCCATGGGCCAGTTAAGGGCTCCCTAAATCTTGGCCTCTGCTCAAATGGGAGACCCTCTGCCATGAACCAGGCTGCCTGTGCTAAAGGCCTAAGGACCATGCCAAGGACAGAAGCTCCCATCCACGTCTCATCCCCAAATTCCCCTTAGCCCTCAGGATGCCTTGGAAATAGAAGGAAGCCATGTGTGCCCAGAAGCCTTGATCTGTCCTCATAACCTGAGCCCTGCTCCTCTGGCCTGGAAGGTGTAGGAGTTGGGATGAGGTGGGGGAAGCAGTCAGGGTTACCTGAGGCAGATTAGTGGGGCCTGACATCTAACTAAACAGTGCAGCCCCTGAACAGCTGGTGGCATTTGCCTCCATGACCACTGCTCTCAAAGCCATAGGCACAGAGGCCCTGGGGCACCGGAACAGGGACACTGAGGGCCTGGCTTCCCAGCTGCCCCCCAGTGAGCCTCCTGAATGCCCCACCTAGGACAGAGGCAGGGTTCTCTGGCCGGCAGCCCCTCCTCAAGGACTTCCCAGACCTCAGGCTTCTGCGTTGATGCAGAGTGACCCTCTCTATTGGCAGGGGTGGAGGGGGACTTTTGATCTGGGAGTTTCTTCCTCTGCCTGTGGCCCAAGTCTGCATCCTCTCCCCATAGCATCTTTAGCTCTGAGTGCTGGGTCAGACTTGGAGTAGGTCCCCAAGTCTGAACAGTGCCCAGGGTGCTTGGGCATTGGAGGTGTGCATGCCTGTGCGCGCGCGTGCACACACACACATACACACACACACACACACACACACAGCCTTATGCACACCTGGGGCCACTACTGCCCTCCCTCCCCACCTTGCACCCCACAGGAGCCCCCGGCTGTGTGTCCCTACTGAGAGCAGTGGCCATCCGGGGACACAGGCAGTGTCCATGGGAGGTTGGGCTTTCTCTTTTGAAATGCCCAGAGTAAGGGGAAAAGAACAGCAGAGCTTCTCAGTTGCTTGGTTCAGGAAATTTTTTCTTTTCTTTCTTCTTCTTTTTCTCTTTCTGGTCTTCCTCAGAAGCAAGCCAGATCTAGCAGGCAGCCAGGCTGCTCCACGTTCTATTTTTGACATAGCCGCAGCTGCTGTTGGCAGGACAGCCAGCCCTTGCTGGATTCCTGCTCCTCATGCCTGCCGAGAGGGGCCAGGGTGGAGGAGAGATGAGCACGCCAGAGTCTTGATGGTCCGGGTACAGTCTACAGTGCTGGCTTCCTTCCACACACTGGTCTTTGAACCCGGGCAGGAGTGGGGTGGCTCCCGGCAAACCCACGCCTGGCCCTGCCCTGAGTGTGGGGTGCTTCCCCATGACCCCTTCCTGTTCTCTGGGTTAGGTGGTACCTGTCTTGCTGTGCTCCTGTGACAGGTGTCCCCCGGAATCTCAAACCATTTCTCTTGGTTGCAGGCTGGATTGAAATCTGAAATTACCAAGCTCAAGGGCCTCTCCCTGTCCCCTCTACCGGTGACAGTCCTAACCCCCCACAGGTCCTGTGCTTTGTTCGAGGCCTTCCTCCCAGTGAGACTGCCCCAGCTTGGGCTGAGGACCCCCACCAGGAGCGGGCAGGGCAGAGCAGGACAGGGGTCAGGCTTACCCACCCAAGCTCAGCCTTCCCTCCCCATGGTCCTGCAGCGCTGCCCATTTCGGAGACATCCACCTGCCCTGGCCTTGCCCACTTCGGAGTTGACAGGGCAGACAGCCTTACTAGGCTGCCACCAGCCCCAGGCCCCAGGGCACCATAATGGGAGCGTCCTGCTGGCTCCCTGTCCTGTGGGTGCCCTTCCTTCCTGTTGAAAAGCATCTTGCTGTGCTGGGACCTCACCAAACCCAGCCTGTGAAGGGAGGCTGTGGGCACCTGAGGCCAAGCTGGGGTGGCTGAGCTCAGAGAGGATGCTTGCTCACTTACACTCATGCTGTCTGCTCCCCAAAAGGCCGCAGGCCTGATGGTGCTCAGGTTCTGTATCAGCCAGTAGCTCCTCTTCAAGGAGGGGGTCCCCTCAGGTGTCAGAGGCACCAGACCTAGGGCTCCTCACACGAGTGTTCGGTGAGCTCCAGCTGGGCACACTCAGCCCCCACTGCACTGAGCTCAGGCATCTGCTGAGCCGCGTGTCCCAGGCTCTCCTAGGCTATCTCTTAAGTGACAGAGCTGCCCCAGAGGAAGCCAGGCTGGGCCATAGGGCAGCAGCCTCAGGCCAGGGTTCCCTGTGGCCCCTACCCTACCAGAGCCTGTGACCCCTGGCTGGTGATGCCGGCTCTCGGCGCCTGACCGGTTTCCCTCTGCTGTCTGAGTAAAACTGGCTTTGGGTGGACTGGCACTTGGAAGACTGTACATAGTTATTTTCCTCTCGGTTGTTTCTGGTTTGCTTTGCATTGCTTTCGATGACTTCATCTTATTTTATTTTTGATGTCACTTTTTGGTCATGTAAACTATTTCTGGTTATGTTGTGTTTTTATTTATGAATAAAGAATGCCATTTCTCATGCCGTTCATAGCCATTTTTGCCTCCCCAAGTTGCTGTGCTCTCCTTGTGCTCCCACCCCAAGAACAAAGGAGCTGGGGAGGCACCCAGGGCAAGGGACAACGTGGCCCCTGCCTCTCACCGGCCTGGTGACTTATGTGTGAAATAGGCCCTGGAGCAACCCAGGGGAAGGAGGGCACGCAGCCAGGTGTCCCGCGCCTGTGTGGAGTCTGGGCCTCTCCCTGCTTCCTCTGCCAGCTGCTCGGCTCACAGCAAATGTGTGGCCTGCCACAGATGGCATCTTGGCAAGAGACCAGAGTGGCTATTGTTGCCACTACCTCAGGCCCTGAGGAGGTACGGTCACTGCAGTGGCCATCTGTCCCAGTGGCCTGGTACCAGCCTGCCTGGTCCACCTTGACAGGCTCTTTCCTCTCCTGGGCTCAGACCCCCAGGCCCAGCTGGGTAACAGGAGACAGAATGGATGAAGCGGGAGTTGGGATGGGGCACGTGGCCGTGTCTCTGAAGGACCAGTGCCACAGGGTTGGTGTCCCCAGGAGGTGACAAGCAGGCGAGGACCTTGGGAGGTCAGGGTAGAACACGGAGTGAGCAGGAGGGAGAGGATGGCATCACACCAGGAGCAGGACGGCTCCACCCAGGAGGCTCCATCAGGGAAGCGGACAGCCAGAGAAGCCACTGCAGCAGCCCCAGTGGCAGGGGAGGTGCAGGCAGAAGTGACCAAGCAAGACAGGTGCCACCCTGTAATTCAAAAGCCCTGGTTTTGGAGTCCTTTCAGTGGCAACATATTTAAGCCACTAAAGTCAGGGCGATGCCACACAAGGCCATGATAACCAAAATGCCCTCCAGGGAGCCCCACCTTAGCCTGCCTGCTATCTCAGAGCCCCTCCCCAGGCCCCCGCTGGTGGAGGGACAGTGATGTGGGAAGCAAGGGCGTCCCCACCACTTCCTCCTGAGTCCTATTGGGGACCCAAACCTGCCTGGATCACCCTGATCTCCTCCTTATTCTACAAAAGTAAAATTAAAAAAGAACACAAGGAAAACGGGAGAACTCCATCCCCTGACAACAGGCGGATCAATCGTCAGCCCCCGCAGCACCGGCTCAGGGTATTTTTATCCAGCCTCAGACAGACTGCACAACTGTGCCTGAGAGGAGGAGGGCGGATTGCGAGCCTTCCCAGGCATCCTCAGTAGCAGGTGCTTAAGTTATTTGAAGATCACTATGCCCCCAAGTTTCTTCATGACCCAGGTGTCACCAGGCTGAAATACCATCCTTTCATTCAGTTGTGCGTGCAAATGTTCATTCAACAAACATTTTTTTTCTTCAGGTTCTTCACACATACACCTCCAGCCCTTTTAATTTAATTTGCTAACTGACTTACGTGTTGTAGCACTGGGGATTGAATCCAGAGCCTTCACAATGAGCTACACTCTTCCCTTTCATTTCTAAATTTTGACATACAGTGTTGCTTGGTCATTAAGATGCCCAGGGTGGGCTTAAACTTGGGATTTTGCTGCCGCACCCTCTCAGATTTCTGACACTGTAGGTGTGCACCAATGTGCATGACTTTTCTTTTTCTTTTTTATTTTGAGACAAGATCTCACTAAGTTGTCAAACTTGTGATCCTCCTGCCTCAGCCTCCTAAGAGCTGAAATCACAGTCACGTACCTCCACATCCAACTTCCACAAGTATTCCATGAATGATTTATGCCAAACCTTATTCTAGATAGCAGAAATGAACGAAAACACCCAAGAACCTGTCTCTTTATGGAACTTACACTAGACAATTAGACAATATTCTGTCCCAGTAGGTGTGAGAAAGGAGATAAACAGGGTGGTGCATGCTGACTGGGTACAGAACTCTGTATCTGCAGGGTTGTGCTAGGGGGCATTGGGACAGGAAAAGCTGGAGAATCACATGTGTCCTTGGGCTTCAACATCATAAGAAAGCCAGCCTGCCACCACCCTTTCCTCCCCTGGATGCTATCCCAGGCCCTTCTCGGGAATCTCCTCTCCCCCTTGGGACCTCAGCACCCGTTTTCCTACCTGGAGACTGCTTCTGTCTCTGGCCTCAGTTTCCTGAGTTACTGACCCCAGACATCTCCAGCCCAGACAACCTAGACCCTCCCATCTGAAGCACACTGTTCCCGCCTCCTCCCAGGAAAGCAGCAGATGCTAAACCAGGTGTGGTGCCCCATACACTCTGGGAGGCTGAGGCAGGAGGACACAAGCTCAGCCCAGGCAATTTAGCAACTTAGGGAGACCCTGTCTCAAAAGAGGGGCTGGGATGCTGGAAATGGAACTAAATGTGAAGGTCCTGGGTTCAATCTTCAGCAAGAGGGAAAAAATAAAAGGCCTAAGCATTAAATATTGTTCTCTCATACATGAAAATTAAATGTGAAAGGGCACACTCCTTAGAAAGATACTGAAATCAAATGACTTGACTTGATTAATCAATCATAACTTGAAGAATGTTTAGCTTCAGCTGAGGCGTGGTGCCTGTAAACCCCACACTTCAGAGGCTGAGGCAAGAGGATCGTTATGAGTTTGAGACCACCCTGGGCTACAAAGTGAGTTCGAGTCCAGTGCGGAATTCAAAGCAAGACTGCATCACAAAAGAAAGAAAGGAAAAGCCTGTTTAGCTCCAGGGAACGTGTCCATCCAAGTTTGTCACTGCCCTTGCTTTGCAGAGAGACCCGTGGCAGAAACTTCCCAGCCCGCCATGTAATTCACACTCTGCCCACAGAATCTCCCCTCACCTGCCCACTGGAACTAGGGTTGGTTTTTACCTGTCTGTCATCCTCTCTAACCAGTCAAAACCTGTGGGATCCACTCTTCCCTGCTGCTGCCACAGCGCTCAGGTGGAACCCAGCACCTCACACCCGCAGGGCAAGAATCCTGCCCCTGAACTCCGCCTGAGCCCAGGATCTGTCCACTCTGGAATGCCCTCTCCTTCTCTTCTACTTCTACGTATTGTCCCAGCTGACGACATCTAAAGAAGAACAGATGCTGGGTGTGGTGGCTCATGCCTGTAACCCCAGCATTCCGGAGGCTGAGGTAGGAGGATCCTTGCAAGTTTGAGACCAGCCAAGGCTACAAAGTGAGCTCAAGGCCAGCCTGAACTGCATAGTGAGACCCTGTCTCAAAAAAAAAAAAAAAAAAGCACAGAACATCCAAGACATCCCAGATTCAAATTCCAGCCACCTGTGCATTACAGATATACAAAAGCAGTCCCAAGTGGGACAGAGAACTTCCCAAGGTCACAGCTATAGACTGGTCACCTTGGAGGCCTCAACAGCCCTGCTAGATGCTCTGCTCCTGGTCCACAGAGCCTATGAGTGCCTGGTAGCCAGGTCGCTGCCCCAGGGCCCTCCCCACATACCCCTTTACAGCACCAAACCTCCGGTGGCCCCCATGGGCCTCAGAATGAAGTCCAGCCCCTTCCCCTGGCACTCCAGTCTCTCCATTGTAGGGTTCCAACACCCATCATGGGGAACCTCAATCTAAGCACTGGGAAAAGAGGATTCCCCTCCATCGTCTACCGTGGAGCTCGCTCAGCCCTGAGGATTCCTCTTGCTTCATTGTCCTCAGGCCAGACTTTACGCCACCAGTAGTCCTGGCTTCTGCCATGAGCAGTGCGGAGCAGGGGGTCAGTGTGCCATGGCAGAAGCAGCACAGCTGCTGGGTTCACCCAGAGTCCCCTGCTGCTGAGCTGGGTGACATCACATACCAGGACTTAACCTTTCCGTGCTGCCTCAAAGCTTTGTTTTGACAAATGAGGTAATGTTTAAGAGATGTTAGTGAAAGCACTGCCTCTGTTGTTATCACTGCCCCCACAGTTTGGCGTTGCTATCTCTGTTACCATGTCAGTATGACGTCACTGCACTTCAATCCAGGATGAACCACAGCAGGTTCCTTCGGCCTGGCTGAGCCACGCTCAGCATAGACAGCAGACTCCAGCAGCCTGCAGCCTTTGCACCTCAACTTTCAGCCCCAGAAGGTGGTTGTTGGGGTGGGGGTGGGGGAACCCTGGGAGAGAGGGCATGGCTGGGGAAGAAAGGGACAAAAGGATTTGCTAGGGGTGTGGAGGAGCAAACTTTGACCAAGGCGGTTAGAAACCTCTCTCCCCACTGCCTTGGGAGCCGCCCTTCCCCTCCCCTCTTTCAGCTCTTTCCCTGCGGTGCTGGTCCACACTTGCACATGCACATATGCACACATGCACACACGTGTGCACAGCTTTTCTGTGTCCTCTCTTCTGCTGCCTTGTCCCACCCTTCACGGCCCAATGACAGCTAATTTAGAGCTGAGCCGGCTCCAGACAGCTTGGGTAACCAGTGACAGGTGAGGCAGATTCAACTCCTTACTCCAAAAATAACGGGGAACTGAGTGGCACTCAGAGGCGCCCGCCGTCTGACAGGTACAGCTTAGGTCCTGGGTCCCAGGTTCCAGTCCCTTACCCAGGTTGGCTCTGTAAGCAAGAACTCCCAGGGTCTCTCTGTCCTCGTCCCCGGGCTCAGCTCCTGAGGCGCCCCTGTGCTTTGCATGTGAGGAAGCTGCCGCTTGGAGAATTGAGTCCCATCGCCTGGATCCAGTCCTGAGGCCAGACCTTGTCCAGTGCCGGCTGTCCCCTCCCTCCACGCTTACTGCTGCACCCCAGTCCCAGCCGTCCCTGATGCCCACAGAAAGCGGTCCCCTCGCACTCCTTCCACCCATGTCCCCACACAAGGATGTTGCCCAGGGAGCCCCACTCTTCCCTTGACCTACCCCTTTCAACACAGTCCTGAAAACCCACATCTTCAGGCTCAGCTATCCTATAATGCGGAGCAGCTTTCCAGATGGAGACAGAGGTTCCTTGAGACTGCTGGGCTCTGCTGCTAGGTAAGGGGAACTTGTGGTGGCCCAAGATGGGGCAGTAGTTGTCCAAGTTCAAGGGTGCTCTGCTTTCCCCTCACGCCTCATTAGAGTGCAGAGAATCTCGAGACCACCATCTACTGCCCTGACTTAGCCTG